TTTAATCTTTAGGTTCAAAATTCACTTTCTGTATTAAAGCCCAATTGCACAATCAAAACCCATTTTATTACCTAAAAATTTTTTGAATAAAATGAGGTGTTTATACTCGGACTTTTTTAGGATCTCATCCTCAGAGGCTTGTGTTTATTTTCCAAGAATTATGTGCATATAATGCAAATGACAAAATATTAATGCCCATATTTTATTTTCCCTTTTTAATTAATAATTCTTTTTTTTTTGTGTTCATTAGTTTTTTTATTACTTTTTTTTTAGAAAAGGGAAAATTTCCCTAGATATTGGTGGCCCAAATGCAATCCAATTTAAAAGCCAAATTTAAGGCCCAATTACTCTAAAAATTATATAAAAAATAAAAATTAATTAAAAAAAAAGAAGAAAGAAATAGATTTCAAGGTCGGCAACTAGGGCACTAGAAGATAGGTTTTGACTCTGTCAACAACCACCACCATACTCCATTACCCTACACCCTACCATAATAGTCCTTCATAACCTTGCATCACCTACAATTTGTCTATTATGAGAATTCACCAATTAAAAAATAATAATTCTTTTTTATTACTTTTTTTCACTAGTAGCATTTAAAAAAAATCTTCTTATCTAGAGATTTCTTAAGCCTCACTATTCAGACAACCTCAAAATCTCATTATTGAGAATTTTTTTTGAAATTATTGTTTCACCTTAAATTTATACAATAATACCATTATCCATAAATAAATTTATTTCATAGATACTTTATATTTTTATTTTTTTAAAAAGTTATTCAAATTAAAAAATAAGAATCTTTGCATTGAAAAGTGCTTCTAAGTATTCCAATACTTTGATAATTTTTAAAAGCTTTTTATCACCTAAAAAATTCTTGAAAATCAATACTCGAACTTTACGAAGTCCTATCGTTAAAAAGATTTTCATTTACTTATTAGACTTTCACAATAAAAGTCCTACTAATATAATTGCCCACAAATAAATTTACTTACCAGAAAATATGCTTTTTATTTATTAATTCTTATATAATTTTTAAATTATTAATTTATATTAATAAGCATTAAAACAAATAAATGCAAAACATAATTAAATAAAGGAACATGCCCAACTAAACTTGTGAACTTAAGCCCAAAACCATTCAAGCAATAGGGTCCAGATTTACAGCCCAAAATGAACTTAAGTGGATTGAGCCTCCCTTATGTCACGGGTTAGATCAGCAATGCTGGAGTGGTGTGGGTTAGTCTCAGGATCAGGTCAAATAAATAGGTCAGGCTTAGCCTGTTTGGTTCCTACTTTTTTTTTAAAGCTATAAAACCTTAAATTTTTTTGCTATTTCATTTCTTCTCCTTAAAAAAAATTCACTTTTTTCAAAAAATAAAAATAAAAACAAAACTCTTTATAAACCTAAATTTTGGTGCCCTTGCACCATTGCCACCACCGCTTTTCATCATCGACATTGTCATCGATTGACCTCTTTTTTTACTCCAAATTTTACCCAAAGCTTTTCTTATTGCCCTCTTTTCATTTATGACCTTAGTTTTGCTTAAAATCTAACTAAAACTCTTAGATTTGAAATCCAAGTTTGAAACTTCAAATCATTAAAAACTCATCTCCCACCATTTGATTTGGTCAAGACTGAGATATGTTCTCCTCTTTTCTTATATCTACCTTTTTACCATTGTCGATCAACCAAAAATCTTTTCGTTGTCATTGGCTCTTTATGTTGCCATTCCTTCTATTTTTTTTTTCGATGCTAGGTTCCTCACATGAAGGCTATGGTTATTTTGGTTGAATTTTTTTAAAATTTTTGGTTGTGATAGGTTTCAGGTTTTTTTTTTTTGTTTTTTTGTGCTTTTTGTAGGTTTTTTTTTTTGGGTTAAAAGGGCTGTTTAGGTGTCACCTGAAGGGTTGTGTTTGAGATAGTGCAAATGGTTGTGGTGGATGATAGTTTTTTGTTTCTATTGAGATTTAAGGTCTAATAAATGAGTGGATTCTAGGTTCAATTTATGGGTATATAGGTTATACTGAATTGGTATTTGCATGGGGTGAATTTTGTGAATGCCAGGTCAAGATAGTGGTGGCTAAAGTTCGATGTTGGTGATCTATGGTTCAGCTAGTAAAGGTTTTGGGACTTTCATCATGGTTTTTGGGTGATCATAGGAGAGTTCTAGGTTGGCTAGGATGGCATTACGTTGGAAATAAGAGTGTTTTTTTTTTTTTGTTGCTCCGTGGGACTCAAAGATTTTTCTTTTCCCCTCCCATTCTGTTGTAAATTTATCTTAGACTTTTTAATATGTAAATTCTCATAATAGACAAATTGTAGGTGATGCAGGGTAGTGGAGGACTATTGTAGGGTGTAGGGTAGTGGAGTAGGGTGGTGGTTGTCAGCAGAGCCGAAACCTATATTCTAATGCCCTGGTTGTTAACCTTGAAATTTGTTTCTCTTTTTTTTTAATTAGTTTTTATTTTTTATATAATTTTTAAAGTAATTGGGCCTTAAAATTGGGTTTTAAATTGGATTGTGTTTGGGCCATCAATATCTAATTTTGATTTTAAAAATGTTCTAGGCCTTTTTTTATAAAATTTTTTTAAAAAAATTTGGGCCTTTATAATTAGATTTGGACCTTTTGAATTGGGCCTTTAAACCTAAACTCAAAATTGATCCTATAATTAAATGAAATTAAATTTGAGTTTATACAAAAGTAATTAAAAAATGATTAATTTGAAACAAAGGCTAATCAAGCTCAATTCAATAAATCTAACCCAAATCAAAACATTCAAATCAAGTACAAAAATTGAATAAACTCAAATTGATTCAGACAAAATTAGATATTTGCATATATAATATTATATTGTAAATATTAGAAAATATGTTAAGTTATCTATATTCTAAAACTTAATAAAAATGATAAAGATAAAAATACTAAAAATGAACTATAAATATAAATATAAATATTTATTTTTTAGAAAAAAATTATCTGCATGGGCTTAAGCAAAATTTGAGATTTAAATTGTCAAGTTGGACGGGACTTGAGCAAGTAAATAGAGTGTTGATACCTTCTCTAAATCCATCTGAATCTAATCTTATCCGATAAACAGTTTTAGAATCAACGTATCTATATACTATATAATTTACATAACTTTTGATATATATATATATATATATATATAACTCTCAAAATCTTTTGATGGTGTTTTTTTTTTTTTTTTTTGGTATAGAGGAAGTCACAACTTAGAAATAAAAAAAGAGGATAAGAAAAAAGGTTGTAAGTGCTATGATTTGAATTATAAATATATTAGATGTTATCTCTTAAAAATAAATATATGAACTACTCGAATTAGTCTCCATGTTTAAATTATTTGATGGGGTTGATCATTTATAGTGAAAACTAATCATTGTTTATAGATGATTTATGTTAACAAATTAATCTCTAATTTATCAATAAAATAGAATAACTTTCAAGTACCAATTTCCCTAATTTTTTAAACAAATTCATTTTTAACTACTACTTTAAAAAAAAAAAAACCAATGAGATGAGTACAAATATGAAAGTTCTTGCAATTTACTTCAATGCCGATGAGTTGCTGTTTCAACAGCAAAAGGAAACTTTAGTACCTTTACCTGGTTCAAGTCTCTCATTTAAATTCAACTTTATGAGGATTTTGCTCAAATGATGATTTTTTCAATACAATTTTTAAATTTTGGATGAAACAGGATTATAAGTTTTTTTTTTTTGTAATGTTTATTTTGCTTACAGAAAATATTGGCTATTTTTTAAAAAAATATTTCTTTAATTTTCTTTTTCCTCCTCTATTTCTTTTTTATTAGAGGATAATAATGCATAATTTTCAAGAGATAATTACATAGTTAATGAGCTAAGCACTTGAAACTTAGAGAACAAACCTAAATCGTAATGCATTTGGTGACAAGGTGCATTAAAGTTTTGGGAATGATGCATACTTATATGAGGATAGTGCATAATGTTTTGCATAATTCTCTGGGGATAATTAGCGAACTGAGTACTTAAAACTTAACGTACCAACCACATTTGGGATAATTCATGCCCATTTATAAAATTAAATAATATCCGAACAGAAGCACCAGTTCATTTTTTAATTTTGAAAATGAGTGTCTTGGGGTGATTTTTTAATATTACTATTATATAAAATAATATTTTTGCATTAATAAAATTATCAATTATGCATTTAATATAATACTATTAATTAAGCTTAAAAGAGGCTTAATACATTTGAGAAAGAATCATCCCATCTACTTAAAAAATAAAGGAAGTTTCTACTATTTTATGGATGATAAAGCAATTGGGAAGCAGCAAAGGACGGTTTTGTAAAAGTAAAATTTCATGGATCGCCGAAGAAAGTTTAGGTTAACACTGGGTGCGTTCTAGGAGCATGCTATGCTGCTCATCGGAGAGTCCGATCGAGAACCACTGATTGCACAAGGCTTTGGCATCCGTATGTCAAGGCTATATATGGAGGTAGCTAAGGAAATGGGATTCCATGGTTGGAGACAATCAATATATGTATTCGGATACAGGAATGCCCCTCCATTATCACTGATGTTTATATGTGCTTATTGTAATAGTTGTTTCATCTAATTGAAATATTCAGCATTATTTCAAAAAAAAAAAAATCCTTTATTAACAAAATTAGCAAAATGTAATTAATATGTAGGATACTTAAAAGAAATATAATACTACATAGGCTTGACATAAGTAAATTTTATTAATTGTGCGAATAAAAAAGCATAATCATAAACAAATTCCAAATATGTTAGCAATACCAAACTCCGAATTAAATCTAGCTAGGCCTAAACCTAAAAAAACTTCTTTAACTAATTTAAAGTCCATAGATATAAAACCCTAATAATTTTCTTAATACAAAACCAAACTCAATTTGAATTATCACCATCAATCAACCTCTTCTATTCATTATTGAATGTGCCAAAGACTTATTAACACAATTTGAATTATCATCATCAATCAACCTCTTCCATTCATTCTTGGATGCACCGAAGACTTATTCGGAGTATCAACCGACAAAATATTATCTAAATTTATCAACGATTCAACGTAAGTAACACCATAAAAATCTAATTGTGAAGCAAAATCAAGATTTGCAACACTCCAAATATCATCTTGTCCTCCTCCATCATTTGAATTTTTCAGTGGAAGAGACCTCAAAGGATGTGAATCAACCAGCTTTGAAGAAGTCCCATAACTAAGATTCATGGACGCCGAAAACTGATCACCATCTGTATGTTGAAAATTAGTAAAAGATCCATCGGGTAAAGATTGGTGCACAAAACTGCCAATAGTGTTGGAATAATCCATCGAATCAGCAACACTATTATAATCGAAATCCAAAGTCATTAACTCATTTGTATCTTCATGGTGAATCAATGGAGATCGATCCTCATCTTTAGATTTCGTTCTAATTGATTTATCAACTTTCTTGTAAATCCTACATAAAACCCAATCATCTAGCTGTAATATATAAAAACAAAAAACTTATCAAGAAACATGTAAAAATATAAAACTCGAATTAAGTTTTGGAAAAAAAATAAAATTTAAGTACGTACCCTCATGTCATTGTAAACCCTTTTGCATTGAGGTGGACCGTTGACTCTATATTCATGCATAATCCAATTAGTCTTATCACCTTTGGGAGGTTTTCCTCTGTAAAAAACCAATGCCTTTCTGTATCCAACTATATGGCCTTTAAATTTGACCTCCCTGTCAGCACCTGTGGCCTTCCAATACCCATCTCCTGCTGCACGATTAGGCCGTGTTCCATTTCGATACTTCTTATCTCTAGGAGTGAAAAAATACCATTCTTTTTCTCCGTATTGCTTATATTGCTCTAATGGTCAAACAATATTTCACATCAATTCAAATAAAACCATCAAGAAAATTAAGAAAAAAAAGTTTGCCTTCAATTTTAAAACAGATTAATTTCACAATAAGCAATTAAAAATTTAAACTCTAAATTTTCAAGTTCAAATCAAAAAATAATTTCAAATTACCTGCAAGCTTCTCAGGATTGTGACGATATAAATTAACTTCCATGATCCGATTCTGAGGTAAGGATTCGTTCATAACTTTCTTTTTCAAGTAATGAAGAACGAGTTCTTCATCAAGTGGACAAAATCGATATCCTGGAGGAAATGAATCCAGATAGTCATCATCATCGTTGCTCTCAGTACCGTTTACAATTGAGTCCTCTTTCTTCGGCTTCTCAGCAATGGCCAAAGCATCGCTGGATGATGCAGGCTGTGGTGGCTTTGTAGTGCTGTCTTTAGCCTCTTTACCAAGACGAGGTTTGAGTGTCGGCTTGCGTTTCTCGACAGCTTCCATAGTCAATCTGCTGAGAAATGAGGATTCTTTTCAAAAGATATTGACGTAAATAAAAGAATTCTAAATAGAATCAAATTAATAAATATATTGGGTTTGTTTCAATTATCTAAAAAAAATCTTTGTTTGTTTTAAAAGATTTTGGATGTATATCAAATCATATCATATCATTATCCTACCAAAAAATTTAAAATCAACACTTTTAATTTTTATTTGGTTTTAAATATTTAAAATTTTTTAAGATAATAATGTGAAGATTAATTAATGAAAGAATAAATAATACAATCTAAATTATGATATTTGTAACTACTTAATGGGTATAAGGTGTAACGACAAAATTAACTAATAACTTAATTCAATTCTACTAAAATTTTTAAAAATTTATTAAGATATATTAGTAATTAACTTTCAACAAGAAAAAAAAAATGAGATTCAACAATAGGAAAAAACCAAATATATTATTTTTCCTATATTCATTCATGTATCCATCTTAATTTTGGGAATTGAATAGATTAAGTATATATTAAAGTTAAAAAAGAATTAGACTTTCGTTAATTACTATAGCAACTTTTACTGCCAACAAAAAAAATGTTTTGACAAAAAACTTATATAGGTTTGAAAAAACTAAAAAAATGTGTATAATATTTAAACATGTAAATACGAATTATAATATAAAAATTTTCATATTTTACACGTATTTAACATGAATAAACATGATAAAAATATATAAATTGTCGAATCTAACAAATAATTATTGGCATGTTTTTTATCTTTAATTCTTTGTCAAAAGAAAAATAAAATCCACTAATTGCTTTATATTACCCTTTTGAATTTCAACTTTGTCCAGCTTAATTTACTTCATCAAATTTGATCTGCAAGAAGTATTAGTGACCAATAAAGAAGTTTCGAAGCAAGAACTACAAATACTTTAAGTCTACATATAGTTTAAATTATAATATAAAGAGTTAATTAAAAAATTTATCTAGGGCATCAAAGGAAATATTGGGTTTAAACCCATATGTTGATGAGCATTTTTCTTCCTTTTTCAAGCACCATTGATGGACATGTGCTTAATTATATTGTGACCAACACGCTTACACAATCTACATGCCCCCACTTGCTTTTCTAGTTCTCTTACACGTTCTCTTCGTTCGTTCTCTCTTGTGACGTCCGCTTAAACTCCTCTTGGAACATTTTGAAAGAATGGAGTAATTAATACGTTATAAGCTTCTTCCTCTAGAGGTGACATTAATGTCCTTTGGAAAGAGCTCCTATAAGCATGATTTTGCTCAATATCTTCAATAGCAATATCAGCCTGAAATTTTAATTCATAAATCTCATTGGAAATATTGCAAAAATTTATGCAGTAAACTTCAAAATATAATAATACAATAGCTTACTAGTTTGACAAAATCCTTCAAGCATGAAAACATGATCGCGAAGATAAGTTGACACGAAAAAATGTTTGATTTTATTTATGCCTTTCACTCACATGTTTGTTGCCTTGAAAATTGTATTTTTGAATCTCTTGAGACCTATGAAATTCAAACTCTCCGAATAAATCTAGTCTCAGCAAAAAATTTTCCATATTGCTTGCGAAGAAGAATCGAGGCAAAAAAACCACTAAATTTGGATGTTATGCGTCATATATATGCAAAAACTATGCTTTGTAAATGGCAACTCATTTGCAATTTTATATATATATTTGAATATGACGGAAAGGCTTTCATGCATGGTGCTTGTAGGACTTTGTTTTCAAATAGCTTTTATGGTGTTTTTGGCTGTGAGAATGCTTTGGACATAACGATAGCTATTTTTGGTTCTCACCAGCTTTCATATTTTGATCGGTCTTATTATGTATGTCCCGTTATATCTTAGCTGGACATATATAAAAGCTTCATATGAACGAGCAAGTGTTATATAGTGTCTAAATTTGAGCTAGAAAATGTAATGTAATCTTATAAACTATTAAAATTAATAGATACCTTCATCAACCATTGAAAAGTGCTTGTCGTCTCATTTTTGAAGAAGTACCACAAAAATAAATAAACTATATTGTTTTTTCTTGCTTGTTAATACCCCCCCCCCAAAAAAAAAAAAACCAAGGATTTCATAGGCATAAACTTTGTAGGTAGTATCAAAGACAACCACATCTCCATATTCTTTTAATTGCAAGAAGAAATAATTAATGCAGTTGTTCAAATAAAATATTACACTCTTAGTTTTATTTATTAGAATTCAAATCTTAATAATCTAACAATTTCAAATATTAAAGATAAATAATATAGACATCGTTTTTCGCCTATCTAACCATAGAACTTAATTTTATTTCCTTTTCAACCCATATGATTTATTAAATTACAATTCTATCACCGAGAGAGGAGTGATTCATTTATATTAACATAAAACTAAATTGATTATACATTTTCCTACCCTATTATCTTATTTATATTATAAATTCAATTGTTAAATTTTAAATTTTATTTACGTAAATCATACATGTCTAATTTTAAATAAATTGAAAATATAAGATTGATTTGAAACCTTGCATAATGCAAAGTGAATATGAATAGATTATTAAATTTAGTAATCGGTTTAAATGGATATTTACAATAAATTATATAAAAAATGTCAAACTAATTAATTTTAATTCGGTATATATAATGTGATCCCTCATTATATATATATATATATATACATATTTATTATTTTTTTAGTTTTAGCTTTTACAATTCTACGTCTTACATTTAAAAATTTTTTGACATTTATTTGTACTATCCATATGCTTAAATTTAAATTAAACCTACAACATTTCTATTGGTATGCTAATAAAGTAAAAATAAAAATAAATTTTTTTTTTATGCGTGATATTGATTCATTGAACTACATAAAAAAAAATAATACTCTATTATCTCATAAATCTCAACATAATACTCTCGTACTCTTTTCTCATAAATCTCAACTATGTATCTCTTACTTTTATGATATCTCATAATCAAAACTATCGCTGCTAATCTCAATATTTGATCTGTCTTATAAATCTCAACTCTAGCTCATCTGAATATTGAACAAAAATTTATTAGAACCTCCAACTAATGGAATGTTCCTTGACGATCCTTTTTTTTTTTTAATTTCAAAAAGAAAAATTCAAACTTAAGTAATTTTAAGCATGAATATATGCGCTAACCATTTGAACCAAGATGTTTTGATGCAATTAATTTTGATACATAAAAGGCATCAGTATGAGAATAACAAAGAAATTACAAATTTTGGGATTCAATCTTCAAATTTATTGAATATCAAATTTTGAAATTCAAACTTCAGATTTACTGAATGATTACTTGAATCAATGGAGTTCTTTTGATCATATAATTGACAACTAATAAGTTGTTATTCGTAAATGCTGCTTTCTGAACAAGAGCTTTCTCTTTTTTTTTTTTTTTTTTTGGTAGGCAAATAAAAGTTACAACTGAGAACTAACCATACCATAACCAATTCTTTCCCAACCCTCAAAATTATGAACCTTACCATCCTTTGGAGAGGCAACTACAAATTTCTAAGTCATTCAAAAAAAAAAATCCTGACTCAAAATAAAAAAATATTACAGATGTTAATATTTGATCCCCAAGATGCCACCTCAATAATTGCATGAAGCAGTTGACTTCCTATTCATATTTCAACTCACTTTGGTACATATCATTGAATGAAGAGCCCAGTGGAGTGATTACTTCATCAATTATTAAAGAAGATAAATGTGAAATTCAAGAGCTCAGAGTGAAACTAGAAATCTAGGTTCGTGCCATCAAAACATAGTTTTCACTATTGAATCACCATTTTTCCTAGTCAAATATCTGAAAGGATTATGCTTAGAAGCCAACTGCAAAAGGGTACAACATCTTCATTCTCAAGTAAAATGAAAAAAATTTAAATTAAAATAAAAAATAAAAAACAGCCAAAGCAACAGCAAGCTAACACCACCATTTATTTATTATAAAGCCTGCAGGGAGAGCTAACGAGACTCAAAAATTGACAAATCCCTTTTCCTTCAGGCTTTCCACTGTTTCCTTGAGGCTCACATCCAAAGGAATGAATTCTATGCCCAAACTTGCTGCTTTTTCCTTTGACACCTGATATGTTGGCACATAAGGCTTGTCATCTGCACATCTGCCAATATTTATCAAAAGGACAATGCTTGAGCAACAATAACGTGTAAGATATTTTCTACCTAGGACTGGATTTGATTATTTGAAATATTGCAAAAGGGCTCAGAATCAAACACGAAAGGTATACTGCAAAAATGGTAGTAGTAAAGGCAAAGGATGCGGAAGCAGATATTAAAAGCTGGCCGGGATAACATGATAGCCTTTTGGCTTAAAAACTTACTTTTCTGGAAGTTGGAAAGAAGGATAGAGTTCACGTAAGATCTTCACAATTTCTGAGTAATGTGCAACTCTCTCAACTAAACAATATCTTCCACTAGCTGATGGAATCTCAAATGCCTGGATATGTGCATTTGCAACATCTTGAACATTGACCCAACCAAAAGTTGCATTTGGGAATGTTTGCGCTCCTGCAGAAAGAATAGAGGATAAAATGGAGATAATAATCCCAGCAGGAGTAACTTCAACATATGAAATTCCTAAAATTAACGCATCTTTTGTCCACAACTAAAACATTTTGCAAACCATTAATGCAATAAGCTTTACTGACCATAAAAAATGAGGGGAATGATCCACCAAAAAATGTTCAAATTTGAAGAGTAAAAAAATTAGCAGGCACATAAAAACCTGGGCAAAACACTATTTGTGCAAATAATTTGTGGTAATTTGATGTGTTTAAATTCATTGATGATGTCACTAAGAAAAAAAGAATTGCTCCCTCACTTCGCCTTTCACTCCCAAGGACTCCAAAGCTTAATTGGTTGCATAAAGAAATGAGAAACCAGATTCCACCCCCTCCAACTTTCCTTTTTCCCTTATGAAATATAAGAAACACATTTACAAATTAAGAGGTAGAGTGCGGCAGAGGCATCTTTCACTCATTAAGAGGCCCCAAGCTGTGGAAAGCTTATTAAAGTGTTCTATACAAACCAGAAAGGAATAACTTCCCTGTTCTGTTCATGTGGCCTCTATCCAGCTAGAATCTCTAAGATCTCTAAGTTCCTGACTGGTTGATACTTTTGCTATTTGCTTTTGTTTTATATTCATTCTTTTAGCTTTTGCCTTTTGCTTTCTATTCGTTTTTTGCCAAAAATAAATAAATAAATAAATAAAATAAAAATAAAAGAATAAATAGCAAATAGCAAAAGCATAATCCAAACAGAGCCTAAGTGTTTTGAATGCATTACACACCATCCAGCTAGAATCCCTAACCATGAATTTCCCTGTTCTCACATTCTCACAAACAGGTCAATTTCTTTGCCTTGCACCTTCTTAAGTTTTTTCAGGAAACAAACTAAAAAGAAAAGGAAAATTACTCTAGCATTCTACATTCCTTTTAAAAGGCATGCAAGAGTATAAATTATGTCTAACAAACGACAATCATATTAAGAGACTAGAAGTTAGCATGGTTATAATAACCAAAGTCCTCGAATGAAAGATCTTAAGAGATTAGAAGTTAGCATGGTTATAATAACCATTTTTTATTATGGGATACTATGCCATTACTTATACAGAAATTTGAGCTGTGAGCAGTTGATTTAAAGACCTTTTATTTAAGCATTTTCCAGAAAAAAAATAAAGCAGATGCTTAATAGAAATCTTGATTTGTAAATAGCAGTAGTATTAGCATCTTCTTTTATTATATTTTTCCTTTTCCCCTCGGTAAATCAATAGACATTTACCAGGGAAAACAACAGGAAAGACCAGCAAAAGGCAGTAGCAATAGAATGGAAAGTATTATTTATTCCTATAAAGACATACAGGTGACGTGTATTTTCAGAAGATCATCAGAGAAAGTTGTCATTGTATTTTTTCTATTATTTTTTCTTAATCACCAGGGTAGAGAATACTTACCACTAAATATGATGCAAATAGCAATGTTTAAGTTAAGAAAGCAAATAGTAAACTGGTAAAAAGTACCTTTAATTAAGCTTAAAACTGCTGCAGCACTCGTATTAAGGGTTGGCTGTAAAAGAGGGCCGATCACCATAGCAGGGTTTATGGCAACCATGTCAATGCCCTTCTCTTTTGAAAATTTCCAGGCAGAATCCTCAGCCATGGTTTTTGAGACTACATACCAAAGCTGAATAAAAGATATTTATAGAACAAAAACATTAATTAATTAATTAATTAATTAGAGGAACACAAACTATTAGGATTGTAGCATGAACAAATTGTATAGTGCGACAACATAGAAACTGAATGCATATTGTAGCAGCAACAACTAGCCAGTTCATGCAACCTTGCAAAATTGTTCTGGAAAGTGATCAATATCCTTAACATGCTAAAAGGGTATTAAAACAATGGTCACAGGATTAGCTGCTAGAATAAGATTAAATCTTATACTTAGCTTGCAAATTGATGCATTGAAGCAAAGAACCAAAAGAGTAAAGAAAAGGCATAGAGAGCCTATATAAGCATGTGCACATAAAAGGGGAAAAATAAGTAAGCCTTTCTCCCTTCATGCTGCACAAAATATTAAAACTTGTTGAGAAGAATTCTCGCAATTTGTTAGAGTACTATTTTCGGGCCAAATCCTAAAATATGGAATACGGTGATAAACAGAATCAACTTCTAATTGAGAAGTAGCCTATTACAAGTCAAAAAGGGTCAAAGTTTCCACTCAATATCCAGCCAATCAACAATTCTTCAAAAACACAGTAGTTCCTATGAGATAATAAGCCTGTTATGATTTAGATCCTAATCTCCAGATGCTCACATCTGTTCGCCAATGATGCCACAAATGATAATTCAGAGAATTAGATTAGCATGCTGGACAAAATTTAGCAGTCAAATTTAAATATCTAATACTGGAAATCTATAGAAATTATGGAATTGGAACCCAATCTGCAATTTGATAGAACAAGCATTCATACGCTTCAGAGTTCATCAACTAGCTCAAGTTCACATTTTATATAAGCTTGACCTATCATCAAGCATTGATAAAATATTCAGTAAACAAAACTGAGAATAAATTGCATCTCAGAACCTTAGAGCATCAAGACATTGGCTGGTGATGCATAGTTCCCTCTATCCAACTGTAACCATAACTATAAATAAAAATGATGAAAACTGTAAACAGTATCTTCATTTAGCATGATCTTATCCCTGTTAGTTGAACAACTAAAACTATGGATATTTGTAACCACAGCACCACAATGAACAATGATGTTTGCAACTAATATACTTTCATTTAATTTAATATCCACATAATCACATACAATCCTTTTTTTGTTTTTTGTTTCTTTTTTTCCCATAATTATTTCAGTATAACAGGTTGAAGTTCCATATAAAACACAACCCTGATCTCAATAGGCCATTAGATGTGATAGCACACATACACACCTTTAAGCCCTTACAGTAATCAGGATCAGTAAACCAAGTTTCATCAATCACAACATCTGGAGTTCGAGGTTTTCCATTGTATGCAACTGCAGCTATAGAAGATGTTAAGACCACACGTTTGACGGAGGAGGTCTTAGCGCATGAGTTCAGAACATTCAATGTTCCCTTCACAGCAGGATCAAGTAATTCTGCCTGATATGAAGAAGGAAGAGTAAAAAACTTATTAATTGAGTAGAGATATAAAAGTTACAGCTCAGCCAAGAAAAAACAAGGTAGCTAGACTAATTTTCACAAAAAGAAATGATTATATTCTTAAAATATTACAAACTGAAATGCTTGAAGGATGTCACTCTCGTAACTGACCACCATGGTTCTACTAGTATGTATGTCATAAATCTTATACCATATACTTCTTAACCTTTTAAAAAAATGGAATGTTTCCCTCCGATAACACACCTACTAGCCAAGGGTAAATAACTAGTTAAGAAACATGTCAGCATACTTCTCTAGTTATAAGCAATGCAAAAACAAAATGTTCAAAAGTCTTTCCTGAATATTTTAAGTTTGAAGCGCCAACTAAGTTTCTTCTTTTTCACTTAGTATCCTCAGTTCAGATACTGACCACTAATAGATAAAGACAATTTTATAAGAACTTTAATTTGTGAAATGCACTTCTAATGAAATTGTTTTGCTACTTAACCTACAAAAATCTATTGAACGATAGAATCTGTCATCAAACTTATGACTTGTTATCATCATCAAAACCATGCAAAAACAGTTTAAAAGATCCAAAAGAAAAAAGGAACTGAAATGTTCAAAAACAAAGAAACCAACTGCTAGGAGAGAAGTACATTCCCAAAAAAGAGAGCCTCGAGAAAGTAGTTACAAAAAAACTGTACAAACAATCAGAATTTGTGTATGGTTGATCAATCTCTTAGCATCAATCAGTTTCATTTTGTTAATGTTCGAAACTATTAAACTTAAAATATGTATAATGAAAAGCTTACCAAACAGATGATGGTATACAGAAATAGGATGCACTTTAAAGGTTTTTCATTTTTTTTTTTATGTAATAATACTTAACATAATGACAACTTTCAAAGAGTTGTATTAGAACACAATATATTACATACAACAGGAAACAAAGAGTTATCTAGATAACGGATTCAAGTTCAACCTGTGGATCTGTGACATCATGATAAAAGGGAGATGCTGTGTGGAAAACACCTTCACAACCTTCAACAACAGAATCATAGGAACCTTCTACCAATAGGTTTGCTTTAAACAACTTCAGCCTGTCCTCAGCACCTTCAAGTGCAAGTAAGTGTTGTGTCTTTCTTGGATCATCTATTAAGCAATAATAACTAATTACAATTATTCAAATAGTTTAGGAAACATCTAGGTAATACTTATAAGGACAACAAAGAGTAATGCAAAAGAAACAAGGAAAATTACTCCATAATTAGTCATTTACACAAACAATGCAACGCCAAAAACAAGATGTTGTCTCATGCTAAATAGAGGATGCCCATCTAGTTGCAAGTTAGTGGCATTATAATCTCTCTAAATTCTAAACTTATTCTTTTTATATATAAAACTTTTTACTAGGCTTGGTTGGTAGGAGAGAATATTGGGGTGGAAAGGGGTGGGTTGAAAAAAAGGATAGAGAATTGATGTTTAAATATACTTTTTTAAGGTGGAAAAGCGAGACAGGAAAGAAAATAGCAGCCATTACAATTTTCTATGCATGCTACAATCGTCTCAAAAGAGAAAGATTAGCAGAGAAAAAAAATGAAAATATGTGATTTAAAAGTTACAAATTTACAATGTTATGATCTTCATTCTTGGAAATGGATAATGGTAAAATAATATGATCTTAATTTATATTTCTTCCACTTTCCAATCCTATGAAGCAATGGATGAAAAGAAAATTATTTTTTAATATTCTTTCCATTCAACTACCAAGCAAGCATACTAGTAGGGAAAAAAAATCCTTCCTTTCACTTTTCACCTTTGCAGCATTTCACATTTCTATCTTTCTTATCAAGCAAATTCTAAAACTTTCAGCGGCTGGGAAATTTATTAAGAAATCAAAACATTTAACTCATATGTCCATGAGAATAAAAGACATCAAATTTCAATCACCTCAAAACTAGTAGAAACCTGAATATCTAATCCTAGAAATCTTATTCTCATTAAAAGATGTAATCAAAGGATAGAAAAAGGGGAAATTGGAGAAAATGGTACTTTATTGTTTTGCATGCAGAAGTGAAAATCACAAGAAAGACCATACAAACATATAAAAACAAAACAGAACAAAATACATCAGAATTCAGATATTAACAAAATAAAATGAAAAATGAAAAGCAAAAAGAGATTCAAACCCCAGAAAGAAAATGAACAAATGATGAAGATGCAAGATCATGAAACAAGGAAGAGAAGGAATTTATGTCAGAAGAAATGGGAAAAAAAATACTGACTTGGGTCACGAACAGAGGCTTTGACAGTGTAGCCACGAAGGAGAAGCTGCTTAACAAGGCATGAAGCAATGTAACCAGAGGCTCCAGTTACACACACGGTTTTTCCTACCCCAGTGCTCATTTTTTTTTCTTTTCTTCTGGGTTTGCACCCTTTTGTTGCTGGCAATTGCAGATTCTTATCTCTTTCTTGAGAAATTAGTTCTTTGACGGTTACGCTTTCGATTGCTGTATTTGCGTTCGGTGTTTGCTATATTTAACAACGAACCTCGTAAATTAACCCTTTAATTACTGCAATGGCCCTCATCATTTTAGGCCTATCCCAATCGGTTCAACATTTTTTCTTTTTTTTGTTTCTTTTTTAAAGTGCCTCAAGCAATTAATTAAGTTGTAATTAAGGACAAATACTGGGATTGACTTTAGTAAAGCTGAAAAAGGTAGTGGCAATAAGATTAATTATTTTAACTATAAAGATTTATTAAAATAAAGTTGATTTTTGTGAAATTTAAAATAATGATAATAATGAGATTAATTATTATATTAATGAGATTAAAATTAAAATTGAGATATATATAAGTATGGATGCAAACTTAGCATTAACAATAATACGAATTATAATGTGAAAAAAAAGTAATTATTAAGGGCATTAAATTAAAATTTGAGTATAATAAAAATTTTAAATTATTAATTATTTATGTTAATAAATAATTTAAAATTATTAAAATTATTTTTATGTTAAATAATATTTTCATTAAAAAATTAATAATAATATACTTACACAAATTAAAACTTAAAAAAGTAATATTCAACTAGTTATTTTTTGTATTTATGAATATATAATTTTTATATTAAAATTATAATTATTTCTTAAAAGATTATAATACATTTATTCATATAAAAAATAACTAATGTTTATTTAATCTAAAAATATAGTAATAAATTATTTTATATATATTTTAAAGGTATTTAGTATTTAAAATGTTTATAATTTTATTTAATAAAAATATTTACACATTATTTTCTATTAAAATAATTAAGATTTTAAATATTAAAAATTGTAAAAATACTTTGAAATATTTATTGTTTAAAGAAATAATACTTAACTATCAAAAAATTATAAATATCATTTGACAAAATGATATTAAACATATGAAATATACAACATAAAATATTAATACAAAATAAAAAAAATTAGGAATTAAAAAAATTAATAATAGGCAATATGGTCGAGGTCCAGTTAGGGTGGGCATCACAATCCATCTCCGACGGATTTCAATCCGATCTGATCTTATAAGATCGATTTTTATTTAAAAAAAAAAAATCGGATTCGAATCGGATAACGCTAAGAAAAAATTAAGTTTGAGTTTTAAATAAACTTGATTTGACCCAACCTCTACATGATATTATATAAAAATAATTTTTAAATAAATTTTTTATTTATATAATTATATATTTAAATATTTATATTTAAAAAATAATATTTTATTAATTTTTGATTAAATATGATTTATATAATATCGAATCGAATTTGAATTCATATATTAAAAAATAAAAATTTTTAAATCAAATCAAATTTAAATTTAACGAATATAAAATTAAATCAGATCAAATAATCAGCACACCCCCCCCCCCCCCCCCGGTTGTCATCCGAGGTCTAGTTCAGTGCTTCACTGGACCCCTATGCCTCCACTCCAAATTTATTCCTCCACTGCGGTGTCACCTCATTGCTTATCATACCAATGATTTCGAATGGTAAAATTGCAATGAAAAAGTGCTTATTCGCACCGTACTGGGAGACTGATCAAATCTAAATGGGGCCTGAGTACTTTAGCGTCAGTGCTAGGATACCATTTTCAATCCAAATGTTAATGATGAGTGTAAACAAAAAATAAAATAATTATTAAAAATATAAATTAAAATTTATAGATAATAGAATTTATAGTATATATTTGATAGTTTTAAAATTAATAAATAATTTAAAATATTAAAACTATTTATATATATCAAATAATATTTTTGTAAATAAATATTTAAAAAATATTTACACTTATATTTTATCATGTTATGTGGAGTGGAGCTTAATTAGTATCTTAATAATAACTATCCTTACAAAAAATAAATATTTGGTCAATTTAATTAAATAATAATATTAAGTAATGATATTTGAATTTTTTTAAAAATATAATTTGGTCACTCTAATTATGCTTATTTAAAGGGCCACCAGTTTAAAACTTTTTTTAACATATAATTATATTTGCACTTTTAAATTAAGATAGTCGAATGCTCTATACTTAATTTAAACTGCTTTTTAAGAGGGTAATCAACTGCTTGATAGAAGGCGCTCGGTTGCTCTGCTGAGTAAACTGAAAGTAAAAAGATCCAGTTGTACATTGAATGGTTTCTCCGTATGTTGATAAAAAATAACAACAATATACATTTTGGATGCATAATTTACAAATTTATCCACGACTTAATACATGTATTAATTCATATTTGAAAAATATTTAAAAACTTGTCAAATTATTTTGGTGATATACACATTATATGTATGGATAACAATGGATCAGATTGAATCAAGTTTTTGTTCATCTCGAATTCGACTCGATTATATACATATAATACTCCAACCCGATCCGATATGTTTTTTTTTTTAATTTTTTCATATTCAAATTCGATCTGATCCGATATTATATAAAATCATTTCTAATCCGATTCGAAGTTAATAAAATATTAATTTTTTAAAATATAAAATATTATTTTTAATATAGATATAAAATTAAATAAATATAAATATATTTACAAATGTAAAATTAATTAATTAAATAAAAAATAATTATATATATATCAAGTTAAGTTTGTCTAAAATCTGATCTTAATTCGATTTTGATTTTTTTCTTCTATTATCTAATCCGACTTAATTCGACATTCGATTTTCAAAAAAAATAATTAACCTTAAAAGATCGAATTAGATCGAAATTCGTTGAAAATGAATCAAATGATCTTCCCTACTTACATGTAATTCCATCACCATCCGACGGAGATGTTATTTTCATTGGGAGCTGCAGGAAAAGATGACAAGTAATTAGAGAATTAAATTAAACATTAAAAATATAAATTTAACTAAATATGAAATTAATTAAACTAAGTAATCGTACGGTTCTAAAAACTTTTAAATAATAGAGGAAAAAATTGAAATAATGATTACACTAAACAAAGTAGCTAATCATAGTAACTTAGATTAACAGTCCTTTTAGCAGTGTGAGAGTCTTTTTTACCGTGGGTGCATTACATTTTATTATTGGATCTTTAAAGATTTAAAATTCAATAATAAATTGAAACGCACTGACACGGTGAAAGAGACTCTTTTCTCCCTGCCAAAGGGATTCTAAATTAAGCTAACAATTCAAAGTGCAAATCCTTATTTCTTCAACTAACTCGCCTTAGCAATAATGTCAAAACTAATAAAATAAAAAACAAGTCTCAATAAGCGATTTTTCCCATGCCAACTCAAGTGTATTGGCTCATCCTACCTTACTTATCCTACTATTTTATGTCCTCATGACATGTTTTAACGTCCAATACAAGTGAAAACCTCAATTTGCTACATATGACAAATAAAGGCACAAATTCATAATTGGAATGCAACCAAAGAAGAACTATTATAACAAGAAGCTCAAATGTCCAAAACCGTGAAGAAAAATAAAGTTCTCGACCTTTTTTTCATTTATCCTTTGATATCTAAAAAAGTTAAAAAAAAAAAAACAAATGAGTTATGACTATTACTACTCAATTGCATCATCAAATCACATTGAAGAGGACAAAAAAAGTGACTAATCCTTTTGCATGTTCATGCCATCAAAATTTTATAAAATACTAAAATTTTAATTTTGATGATTAAGATTTAAATTTTGACAATCTCAATTTAAGAAAAAAAAATGATGTTACAAATCAAAGCAAAAGAAAGAAAAGATGGTACTCTTATAAAGTAAGATACATGTGCGAATTATGCTACTTTTGGTTGATGTAAGCAATCAAAACAAGTTCACACATTCCATCCAAGATTATTTTTAATTTCAAAATCATAGTCAACATATCTTGGTGTGTTGCTAATTTGTTTGTCTATAAGCACTTTAGAATATTTTGACTTCGTTGTTGTTATCCTGCCTGGAAAAGTTTATGGTTCGAATCTCTCCTCCCTTTGCATATATTCCAAATAAAAAATGGCAAAATTGAATTGACCCCGGCCAACTGACAAAAATTAAGCATTTATTCTTTCGAGAATATGTGACAATTTAAATTAAGTGACCATCAATCATATATATATATATATATATATATAATCCAAATATTTTGTAATAAATGCCAAGTCATTTTACATAAATTTTAAACTTATATCTTCTAATTTTATTACATTAAATATAAACGACTTTTGGTTAAAATTTTAATTTTATAACAGTTATTTATTAAAATTTATTCAAACTTTAAGTTTTCTAATATTAATGTTTTTTACTATTGATTTTTTTTTTTTATAATTTCTGATTTTTTTATAATGGACTTTTGATTTTGTTGTCTAACTTTTTAATGAATTTTTTACTTTTGATTTTCTTCTATTTATACTTTTTAAAATTATTATTTATTAAAATTTATTGTAACTTTTAGTTTTCTAATATTAATATGTTTTACTATTGATTTGTTAAAATTTATTGAAATTTTTGTAATAATGCCAAGTCATTTTGCGCAAATCTTAAACCTATATCTCTTAATTTTATTATATTAAACACAATAAACTTTTGGTTATCTATTTTTTTAATAAATTTTTGACTGTTGATTTTCTTTTATTTATGCTTTTTAAAATCATTATTTGTTAAAATTTATTGAAACTTTTATTTTTCTAATATTATTAGTTTTTGACTATTGATTTTCTTATAATTTATGATTTTCATCACAATAGACTTTTTGTTGTCTAACTTTTACATGGATTTTTGACTTTGATTTTCTTCTATTTATGTTGTTTAAAACTATTATTGATTAAAATTTATTATAACTTTTAGTTTTCTAACATTAATATTTTTTATTATTGATTTGTTAAAATTTATTGAAAATTTTTATTTTTTTATGGATTTATGACTTTTGATTTTTTTTATTTATGTTCTTTAAAACCGTTATTTGTTAAAGCCATTATATAAGTGTATTTCATGTTTGTATTTCATTTTCTTTTCCAATACTTGTTTGCATAATACTGATCATGAGGTTTTTTTTTTTATTGTGTTTATATTTTGTAATTTTATTATTTTTAATCTTGATTTATATATTTTTTGGGCATTTCAATTCTATT